TGGCTGTTCAAGTAATATTTTGCAGTCACTTGRGGGTTACTGGTGGTGGTCACTTGTTTTATTTGGCAAGAGCGTTATGTTTGGCTTGTGTGTAATCCTTTTCATTTTACTCTTAGTCCAGATAGTCTCTTGCAGGTCTGGGGCAAGTGTTCTTGAACTGTTCTCCTGGATGCTGCAGAGTATGAATATGTGCTTTGCTCACAAGATGACAGCAGCAATAGATATTTGTGTCACTAATCAYAGAACACTTAATGAACTTCACAAGGTATTCCCAGGAAACAAGAGAAATTTCTTCACCTACCATTGAAAAGCAACTGTAGGTGGCATAGAAAGAAACACTGCTCTGCAGGACAAGAGCAGAGTTTCCAGCTGAAGCAACCAGAGGGATTTGGACAGGAGGTTCATGACACCCAATTTAGGTTATTCCTAATGTAGGAGTCTCCACTGAGAGTCCTTTGACAGTCAGTGGCCAGAGGAAGTCACATCTTGGAGGCATTCATCTCCTCGTAGCGATGTGTATTCCCCCCAGGAAAGGGTTGAGATGAAAGTAGAAGTGCCTAATTGTCCCCATTAACTTCAAATGGACTCAAGAAGAGCTGCTTCCATGGGGTGTCTGTGTTACAGGCATGTAAATTTGTGTAGGAGAAACTCACTCTAAAGAGGTGTATTTTTTCCTAGAATGCCCTTCTGTGCCTGGGATTCCTTTCAATGCTTTGGCCCAGATCACCAAACAATTGCACTTGCACAAAAGCACTGTTATATTAAAAAACAGATGCTTTGGAGATGCTAAACATTGACACATGCCTAACACTTTACCAAACAAGAATAAATTAGCCYTAAGGAAAAGCAAAATAATTTGCCTATAACAATACATTTTGTTAAATGCCCTGAAGAAGTATTGAATGAAGCTGGCTGCAATGCCAGAGCCATTCCTCTTGGCACCCTCCCAGCACAGTGTGTACAACCACACAGCTCCCACTGCCTGCATTGTTTCAGACTCACAGGACTTGTTTGCTCTTCTCTGCAGGTGCAGGGACTCTGTTGAGATGCTCCTGTTGGGTGAYGTGGTCAGAGCTGTCATGAGAACAKTCCTTCACCGYGCTGTAGTACACCGGGGTGGTGGGCAGGGCAGGGTGCTCAGCACTCTTCTCCTCACACTTGTACAACTTCCTAAAGGCAGCCCTGAACTTGTGTGACATGAGGTTGTAGATGATGGGGTTGATGGCACTGTTGAGGTAGATGCACAGGTGGCAGAAGAGGAGGAACCAGGAGTTCGGGTATGGGGAATCCATAAAGGAGTTCACCACCACCAGTGTGCGGTAAGGCAGCCACAGCAGCGCCAACAGGGCCACCACCACTGCCAGCATCTTGGTCACCTTCATGGTGGGGACATGCAAAAAGAAAAACACACACATGATGCTGGATCTCCAGCAGAACCTTCCCACATGGAGGWGTGGTGCAGACAGCTAATTTCCTTCTCTCGGCATTTAAAAAAAAAAACACCCAAGCCGTGGAGCTATTTCTCACTGAAACCATTTTAATCAGGAAATAATCTTGCATAAATAAAACCTGAAATTGCAGGTTTTTATTTACCATTGAAGAGACTTTAAAACTCTCTAGAAATAGTATTCAGCACCCTGGAAATGCAGTGGGAAAACCATAGGAATTTCTGTAGCAGAAAGCAAATTTGAAAATTGTACATAACAGTGAAAGAATGGGGAAAATGCTTGTCTAGAGGGCGAGACCTAGGTTTTAGGGGTGCCATGGGATGTACTTCATCTCCTTCCCTAGGGTTTCCTGGTTTCCTACACCACCTATATTGTTCCAAGGAATAAGCTCCTGGTTTAGAGCAATCCTGGGAGCAGAAGACAACTGTCAGGAATCTTACACTATTTGTGCTGATGTAGGGGTGACTTAGCCACTTGCCATGGGTTACTTTAATTTTCAACACACCGGGGAAGCACTGCATAAACGTATTGGGAACAAAAAGAAACTGAGAATTCAGTTGTAGTGAGTAGTAATTGCTCTCAGCTTGTTTAGGAAACTGGGGTTTTGCACTGAAACACCAGTCATCCTAATAATTTCAACAGCTATTTCTGGTAAGTGACAATCCTCCTCCAACAAATACTAACAAAATACACACGTCCCCAAAGGAGGAAAGTATGACTAAACTCTGCTGCCACATGCATATCTAGGCAGTGGTGTTTCAAACGTCAGAAGGGTAGTTGTGCAATAATCCAGTTCTTAGTATGGACATAAGCACTGAGATCACATTTGGAGTCTCTCAGCTTCTCCTGGAGTGCTTTTTCACTTCATCAGAAGAAACTATGCCTTCCTGTAATGCCATGAATAATATTGGGGGTCATTGGTAGTGGCAACAAAACTTTCTCTAGGAGAGASGGACTATTACTGAGCTGAGGCCAAAATAGAAGGGGTTTGCTGTGTGTGGTTTAATGGAAATGTGAGGACACTTCCAAAAATAAGATCTTGCAGTGATGCAGTGGGTGCTGAGGCTGTAGCTAGGACTGAAGCTTGTTTGCTGCCACAGTTTGTTGCCTTTTGGGAAAGATATGAGAGAATGTACAAGKGGTGTCTCACAAAGGTGTGTCCAGTCTCTGTCCTGGAAGCCACAGATGCTTCTCCCCAGCCAGTATCCTCCCTCCTTGTTCCTGCACCATCATCCTGAGCTGTATATCCTTTTTTTTTTTTTAGGAATCCCACTCCCTCTAGTGGTCCCTCTCTGCGAGGTGAAGTACGTAGTTTGAGGTTTTTGTGTAAGTGATAAATATAGCAAAACTCACACCCTGTGTTGTACTGCTCTGGRCTGAGGTGCTTTCAGAAGCACCAGTGAGGAAACAGCAGCATCTTCACACCCCAAAAGCAGTGCAGTTCCGGGGCTGTATAGGAGCACAGCCACAGCAAAGCACCCCCAGCCATCCAGGCAAGGGGCAAAAATGGGCACCTCTGAGATAAACATCCTGCCCGAGGCTCCTGCAGCAGCCAGTGGCCATGGGAGAGCAGATAAATACTGCGGCAGAAGTCAGTACTTGCTTTAAATCTTTCAGTGCTACAGAAAAAATGAGGAAAAACTGAACTGGAAAGGTTTAGCAGTTCATAAAGAAACACACATTCTCTGGGCTGTTTGCTTCCACTCTGTGACCCTGACCTGTCTCTCCTGGGGAATGGAAGTTCCTGTGCAACAAGATACTGAGCTGGAAACATGAGGACTTCAGGGCAGGCTGAAATCTGCTTTGGGCTATCTGGAAATCACAGCAGAACCAGTGAGTTCAAGGACTCAAGCCAAACTCCCAGATTCAGCCCTTTCCTTTAAAAGGAAAGCTGAATCGGCCTCTGCCTGTTCAGAACGGAACAGTTTGCTGAGTGTCCCACATCTGGAGGGCTTTCTCCGCCCCGGGACCCCGCATCGCCTCCCGCCGGCATCGCCCGCCGGGTCCGAGCGCACCGTGAGCCCAACCGGGAGAAGAGGAGGAGGAACGAGCYCAGGCTGGGGATGGGGGTGCAGCTGAGAGACCCCGGGGTGGTGGCGGACAGAGGCTGAAAGTACCCCAGCAGTGAGTGGGTTCGCTGTGGGACCCCGAGCTGTGGGTGCCTTGTGTCCCCAGGCTCTGCTGTTCCCCCAGGGCAAGGAATCCTTTTCTCCTCATCTTCAGGAGGATGGGARCAGAGCGATGCCACTGAGATCCACAGCCTTTCCTGTTTCCCTTGGGCAGGGGCAGAGGAATGCCTTCCCTGAACATGAGGTAGTGAGCTCCTTGTGCTACCTTTCCTGTAGCCATCCCTGTCCCCCCAAAAAAAAGCACAGTCTCATTTCTTCGGGAGAAGGCTTACCCACTCAGGAACTGGGCAATCCCAAACCTTTCCTACAATGAGTCTGAGGTGTCTGGTATCTCCCTGATGGTCAGGTTGGGAGATTCAGTGTCTCCCTGATGGTCAGCAGTAGCCGCAATTTGCTGCCAGCTCCATGCTGGCTCCTGATGTCTCTGCAATCTGTCAGAAAATGCATTTTCAAACTGAAAGAGCAATTGTGTCTGAAGGGCTAAAGTGCAGAGGTCCCCTAACCCGTGGAATGGAGGACAGGACAAGGGGGAGAGCTCTCTTTTTTACTAGATTAGATTTTAATTAAAGGCAAAGGTGTCCTGKTAATCCCAGTCACTGGGGTGCATATCCAAAGTGTGAAAGGTCATTCTGATGCTGGGTGATTCAAGTCCAGCACTTCACAGACAAATTTCTAAACCTGGGCTGYGCAAATCTGGGTGGATAAAATGCCCTTTGCTTCAGCCCAAGGAGCCCACTCTGTCCCCAGGCTTTGAGCTGCTGTGGCAAATAATATTTTCCCCTTTGCTCTGGGAATCCTTGTGCTCCCCTTTGGCAGATGACAATCGGTGTTATTTTTCACCACTTCCTATGGCTAAACATGAAATAAATGCTCACCTTTGGGTGAGTTTTGAAGGATAATTGTTCTCTTCTCTTTCCATTTGGTTTCCTTAGGACTTCACGGCAGCCTGCACCAGGTCCTGCTCCGCCTCACACCCCTGCCCTCTACAGCCCCCAGTTTGGGAGGCAGGGCAGGTCCTGTTCCTTATTGCACATTTGGGGGAAGAAATGGGAGTGTGGGCATGAGTGTTTGCTCACACAATCCAAGGGTTTGGTACTCCAGTGATCTGGAGCAACTCTAACACAGACAGAATTCCAGCACTCCATCCAGCACTCCATCCCAACACTGCTACTGCTGCTATCTCACACTGATGCTGGGAGTCCTCAGGACATGGACTGTGTCATGGAACTGCTCRTGGGAGAGGAGAAGGGACAGACCCAGCACAAATGTCCTGAGGGGGAAGCTGGGGTTTATTTGCTTCCTCAGACCCATTCTGGGAATTGGTGAGATCAGGAAACAAACCCAGGACAAAGTCCTGCAGACACTGGAAAAAGCTTTTGTTTTGGTTCAAACCTGGAACACTGTGCAGGATAATTGCAGATGATTATTTCCCTGGCTGCTTTGCTSTGTGGCAGTGACAATCGAGCTGTTATCAGTGCAGGTAACAACAGCATTAAACACCCCTCTGGAGCAGCTCCTGCCAGTCCCTGAGCTGGTCTGTGTCCATCACCAGGCTGGGGCTGGCTGGAGGAGGTGTAGATTTTGTTGTCAAAATGATGCTTCCCCATGCTCAYGAGGACAGGGATGGTTTGTTAATTCGGGGTTCAGGAGCACAGGCAGCTCTGTGGTTCATCTCAGGATCCTCTCCTCCCTGTCTCACTCCACTGGGAGTCCCAGCGTGTCCTGACTCTTGATCGCTGTGAGAGGAAACGTTCAGGTAACCAAAGTTACAGAACCAGCAAGGCTTGGAGCTGTGCTGTGAAAAATGACMCATCTGATGTGCCTTTTGGGCACTGCCTGTGACACATCCTGCCTCAATCACCCATCCCAGGGCTCACCCCAAGGACAGCATGCAGAGTAGGATGTGCCTGGWGTCAGGACAGGGATAGGCAGCTCCCAGAACAGTGATCGGGGTGGATGCAGTGCTGGAAGAGCATCCGGGGGGGATAATAGCCACGATAATGCTGAGGGGAGACAAAAGCTCTTCGTGCAATATTATGAAAGAATAAAAATCTGGCAGAACAATTAGACAGTAATTACGGGTTATTTMATATTCTGTGCCATCTAAATGTCAACACCATAAAGCAATTGGTACAGCACACACTGCACACCTGACTAGCACAGCCCTGGGAGAGCACAGCAGCCTCCAGCTCTGCTCTCTCTCCCTTTCCGTGCAGGCAGAGCCATGACATGCCTCAGGGAGGAAACAAAAGCCCACCCTCACTTGGTATCCAGGTTTGGGGTTCATGCCATGACTGGGTGTCCCACCAAGCAGGTGTGACAAAATGGGGGTGACAAAATGCTCCAAGCTCTCAGTCAGCACCAATGCAAACACCCAGGAAACACTGCAACTGCTGTCTGTAAAGTTATCCATCACTGAACTCCATCACTGCACCCTACACAGGGCATAAAAGGACAGAAAAAAGCAGCTGAACCTCTCTGGTCCTGCTGCTGCAAAATGTTCCTGATCCCTCTGCCCCCACTCCTCAGAGCTGCTCTGGTTAGTCTGAAAGAACAGTTGGTGAAATTGCAGCAGCTCTTGCTGCACAGGAGCCTCCACCCAGTCTGTGGTTTCCAATATTTTTTCAGTTTTTTCTGTGTGCACTGCTCATTGCAGTGTCCAGACAGAGGGCAAATCTCTCTCTGCTCTTAGAGGAATTTGTTYTAATGCCAGAGAAATCTCCTTCCTCCCATCAGCTCCATCAAGAGCACATATTCACCTCTCACAGAGCCCAGGGCCACCTGTGCATCATCAGCTGCTCTTGGGAGAGCAAATCTCACATGGGTTTAGGCATCTATTTTTAGGAAAGTCTAGATGGGACCAAAGTTCCTCCCTCCCTCACTGTGGCTGTGAACCTGGCTCTGCTGATGCCCTGGCAGTGCAGAGCACGAAGTGTTGGGCACATGGAACAATTTCATCCCTCTCCTGGTAAAATGAAAAAAAAGGAGGTGATTCATGCCATCCCAGCTACAGCCTCAGCTTGACCTGCTCCTTCCTGTAATTCACAGATTTCCCACTTTATTTTCTGAACAGCATAATTCCTAATACAAAWGAGGAAGCTTTCAGGCTTTCAACTTGGCTGTTTTAGTTTCTAAWCCTATTTCAAAGGAAAGCTTCCCATCCAAGCTGTGGATCACCATGACTAGTCAGATTGCTGGCCTTTTTATTTTAAGTCTCTTGGGAAATAAATTCACAGAACTGGCCTCTCTCCCTTCTCAGATATGAAAACATCTCTCCAGCTCTTTCCAGGTAGGATGAGGAGTTACCAAATTTCAACTAGAATAGCAATTTCCAGCAGCTCTGCCTGCTGCCAGTTCCCCTGCCTGGGGAAAGCATGACAGCCCAATTCTGCACTGGGACAACACAGCTGATGTCAAAAAGATGACTCTTCATGAGGAAAAATTCTTTTTGAAGTTGCTCTTGTTGGAGGGCAACATGCTGCTCAGATGGTTTGCTTGCTGAAGGGATTTTCTCACCTTCTCCCAGGTGTTTGAAYCCCTGGCTCAATAATTTTGGCTTCTCAGTGCAAATCTTTTTGCTTTCACCCAAACAGAAAAGCACAGGGCATTTTCTACAGAAACACCATGACAAAGCCCCCAGTTGTGTACAGGCACAAAGGTGCTTGAATGAATCATCAGAACAGCAAGGAATTAAGAAACCTGGGGAGATGAATTCACAAGGGTTTTGTTAGATAAAGGGTTAAAAAAGTATAATCYAGATCTAATTGTTTCAAGTACCTCAGAAGATGAGAAAATTCGGTGCTCCTGGCAGCAGCTACCACTTCATTTCTGTMATTTAATCTCACTGAGGTGCATTATGTCAAATAATTGCCTTAATGAAGACTTTAATGGAATAAAGGAGGAAAATAATAGAGTTCATTCAAAGAAATGAAGCAGAGAAGTTGCTTAGTTTTTAACCTGGTGTGGATTTATCTGCCTCTCCTCTGCTCCTGCCCTTACAGAGGTGTCCAATCTGCTCCTCTATCAAAAAAACCACATTTCAGATGCTGCCCAAGTGATGGATTTATTCATTTTGGATGCAATAACACAGTTTCTGAGTTTGAAACCACCTACTATTTAAAGTAGTCCAAGCATTAACCCAGCATTGCCAAGGCCACAATAAACCACCTGAGTGCCACATCTACAACTCTTTTAAATCCCTCCAGGATGGTGACCCTGGGCAGCCTGTACCATAAACCTTGAATGAATTTTTCCTCATATCCAATCTAAACCTCTCCTGGCACAACTTGAGGCTGTTTCCTCTCATCCTATCACTTTTTATTTGGAAAAAGAGATCAACACCTAAATTGACCTTTATTGACTGTTCTCATTCTCTTCTGAGAGCCTTCAGCTGTTTTATTTATATTTTATTTTGAACAGCCATTTTGAAGAGATTTTATAAAGTCCTCACGTGCTGATTTCCACCACCACCCATGCCCAGGACGTGCCTCTCATGGTCAAATTGGTTTTGAATTTACTTCAACAGGCTTCMAGAAATGACACTTTCTTTGGTGAATAAATAGTCATCTAAATTTAYCCAATCTACCCAGGTTTCTGCATGAAACCTGAAAGAAAACCTCATTGAAAATTAAATTAATCAAGTCAAATAAGTTTCCTTTRTTGCTGCCTGAAGGCATAACTTGAGAAAGACAGGAAGTGTGTACTTCTTCCAGCACGGATGTGGTGGAGAAGGTAAATGAGCTCCTCCCTCACCCCACCTCCCACCAATTTCCCAGCCAGCCTTGCATAATGCTGCTCCAAGTCATATGAGCCATCTCCCACCCTTCCTGCAACAGCTGACTCCAGACATTCTAGAAATTTTAAAAAAAGGAAATTTAGCCCACTTTTCTC